AGAAGATTCATCTGAAAAGTTGCCACCTAGCAGACTTTGGGTCCTCATTCTGCCATATCTTTGTCCAGGTTAGATCTATAAGGAAGTGTAATGTATAAGGGAGAGAGCAAAGCATTTCTAGATTGCACCCTGATTGCAAACTGGTTGTGAATAGCTGCTTTTTTAGACAGGAAGAACACACAGCCCCCTGCACTGGGTGAGTAAGTGAATGCCATTGGCAAGCTGAGCACTGCCACATCCTTGACTAGCAGTGAACAAGAGTCCTTAGAAAATAACAGTGTGGGGACCCAGAAGGTTGTGTGGTCACTGCACTAAGAACCTGGGGTGACAGTTCAGGTAATTACAGAGGTGCCATGGGCACAGGGATTTGCTTTTAGCCTAAATTCCCATCTTTTCTGCATACTCTCAACAACTGAGTTGTTCTATGGGCTCCTACAGAAAAATGAGCAACTCAATGACTGAAATGATCTTTGGGCTCTCACAGTTCAGAACAAGGTGGTTTTCACCTCTTCCTCTGTGACGTGGCAGGAGCGGCTTCTGTTCTCTTGGGGATTATTTCATTTGCTGATAGTCATGAGAAGGAAAGCGGGGCAAAGTATTGCTGGCATGCTTTTATTGCAGCCACTCCCAGATCTTTCCCTGCCCTCTAGCACCCAGGGCAAGGCCCATGTTTGCACAGCCCCTGGGCTCTTTCTGACTGCTGTTTTCATGTGCCCTCCCTATGAGAGACACCTGGGAAAGCTTTCTCCTTGCTTGTTGTGACTGGATAGAGATGCTTTCTTGCATTTAGGTGAAAAGCACCACTGTCTGTACTAGGAAATGGAGCAAAACCCATTTCCTGATCTTTTTGTCACTCAGAAACTGGTTCCACTGGGCTGGGGTTCACTGACAGGTCATAAACACAGCCCTGAGGCAAAGAAACCACCCAACCCTCAGACTTGTTTTCCTTCTTCCAATTGGATGAGTCAAATCTTACAATAAACGAGATCTTTCTTTTCTTCCAGACATGTTTGGTGCAGAGTTGGGGAGCAGCTGAACCCAACACTGCATGTGAGGCACAGCCTGTAACACATTTATTCATCTGTTGCTGTCACCCTTATGTCCCACTGCTTCTGGTGCTCTTCATTTGTCACCCACGTCTCTCTCTGCATCCCAGAAGGAGCTTCCCTCTCTCAGGGAAGCAGCAGTTTCATTCTGGGATGTCACTGACTCAGGCTCATTTCCTCCTTCCCACTTCTCACCACGTTTCACTTCACAGTCAGTACATTTAAAAGTTGTGGTTTATGCTTCAAAGGTTGGGGATTTTTTGTCTGAGCAGAAACAGAATCTATTCAAAATATGGCTGAAGGCAGGGGAAGTAAATTCTGAAAGAACTCCAAAAAATGAGAGGACAAATAGCTTACATACTACTAGAGAGACAGTGTCACCTAGATTTAAGCCCTAGAGTTACTTTCTTGCTTGTTATCACTTTGTGTGTTTATAACATTTTAAAAAATGAGGATGGTTTTCTCTCCCTCTGCTTAGAGATTTGTACTTGTACAAAGGAAGAAGAAAATCAAAGTGACATTTCTACTTTCACATTCCTTACTGAATAATTGTTAACAGACTGAAGGGCAATTAATACAATTACAGGAATATTTTGTTTGCTGAAATAAATTGAGATTCTGATCAAGCAAAAAAAGGAGCATAATTTGCATAGCCTGAAAGGTGAGAGTGTTGAAAGAGTGAATATCAATGCCTTTGCAGTAGTTACATAATGCTCATCAAACCATGACCCAAGTGACATATGTTGCATGTGGAGCCCATCCACTTTTTCTGATTACTTTAAACTTTGTGAATTTCCTTTTTGTGGGTCTTACTGTTGAAGTGAGGTTTTCAGGATTTTTAGTTCAAAAACCCCAAGCAATTCCCATGTGTGTAGCTTGGTCTGAAGCTTGGAATATGAGACAGGATAAAAGTCAGTGGAGCTGAGACTTCCAGAGGAGGAGATTCCTTCTTCAGAGATAAATATTGTATTGACAGAACCCAAGAAAACTGTTTATGAAAAATACTTTCAGTTTCATGAAGAACAGCATTTTTTCCTATTCCTAACAGTTTTGGGAGGTGTGTGTGGATATTCAGCACAGAGATGGTACACACACTTGTCTGGCCATAAGCACAAAGGAGCCTTCACTAAACAAAAGAGAGACATACAAAGTGCACTGGAGTCCTTGTACTCTGTAGTGCTGGTTCCTGCCACCCAACCCTTGAGGACATAACCAAATTAGTACTCACTTGCACTGAAAATGAGGAGCCCAAGTCCTTTCATCGCCATCCCCCTCATCCCTCCTTTGTTTCACCTCAAGGTGCTCTTCCTTGGAATCTCCAGGAGGCTGGGTAGGTAATTGGCTTTCCCTGAAGGGCTGCTTTGCAGTGGCATTGCAGGTTCACTTCCTCAGTCTCTTAAAAGTGCTTCTGCCCCAGCCTGCCCCTCCCTCCCAGCCCGAATGACAAGCCACATCACCAGTAGGCTTTGACATCACCTGCTGCTCTCTGTAAACCTGGGAGCTCCTTGCCCAGTTGTGAACTTTCTCCCACAGTTAAACGGCCTTTCCCCGTTTCTCCCAACACGCAGGTGCACGGAGCAAGGGAAGGGTGTGGTGGGGCTGGGGGTGGAGTGTGCAGTGCAGCTGAAGTCATGCATGTGGTGGCAGGCACCTAGGGGAGGATAAACCCCATTTTTCTCAAATTTTTATTAAGGAACAGAGTCAAAAAGGTATTAAAGTGTTTCACAATGCAGGCAGCAGCCCACATCCAGGCTTTAAGGACCTGAGGGCCTAACTCCATTTACTCTAAGTACTCATACAAATACACACTCTATGGCAGTTGGATGACTAATGGGTTATGTAAATATAAGTGAGATGCATCTCAGCCAGGTTCTACTCTGTGATGCTCACTGTTCCACTGCCCAGTGTGTGGCTTGCACAACAGGCACAGGTACCAAAGGTGCTGCTCCCTGTCTGTGCAGAAGGCTGCACAGATCACCCAGCCCGTGGCTTGCAGCACTCTGGTGATGGGTCTGTCGAGGCATGGGCACTGAACAGCCAGCACTGCTCTCATGCTCTGGAAGGGCACTTGGGAGTCACAAATAACCACTGCTGTCATTGACTGAAGAGTAAAAGGGGGACTCATGGCAGCTGGGGCAAATATCTGACATTATGTTTAACTGAGGGCAGTGTGTCTTCTAAACATTTCACTGCCACTAGGCACCGAGGGATGTGTCCATGTGGGATAATCATCTATGCTCTGTTTCTAGCCATTTGAGGGACAAAGTGACTTCTAGGGTGTGAGTGACCATTTCAGGCATCTAGATGGGACATGATGTTCTTAGATATCATTTTGAGATGAAATTTGTTGAATAATGCAGTATATTATTGATGAAATTTGTTGAGGATTTTGAAGGAGGCTTCCTCAAAACACTGGATAGCTGTGTTTAGGGCAGTAAAGCAGATCTGTATCTTGCTGTTGTGCTGACCTCAGGCTTGTATGGTAAATCTGCCAGAAGCCACGCTGAAGATTTGCCTTTTGGTCTACAGTTGTTCAAAATACCTCTCTGTCTGTGTCATTATTAAAGATACTGAGCAGTACTGGTCCCAATGCAGGATCATGAGGGACACCACTTGTTCACAATCCCTGTTGGGATGCTGAGCCATTGACTGTATTTGGATCCCATCCAGCCACTTCTTTATCCATCAAATAGTCCATCAATCAAATCCACCTCTCTCCAAATGAGAGGTAAGGATGTTGTGTGGGACTATGCCTAAGTCAATACAGAAGTCCAGGTAGCTGACAGGTAGCTTACTTTCCCGTAGGTTGGAGTGGTTTCAGCCTGCACTGCATTTCCCAAGGATAACAGAGGTCGTACCTGCATTTCAGTTTGTGCCTGCTGGGATCCCCCTTGCCTGGAGGCTCTCTGCAGGCAGAGGTCCAGCCTCACTGCCTCTGGACTCTTTCCTGCAACTGAGAAACCATCCAGCCCACAGCAGGGAAGGAGTTAAGTGCTTGACCAGCTGCTGTCTGTGAGGCACTGAATTCCTTCCCGTGCAATCCAGCAGCCAGTGTCAGGACAGCTATATTTAGAAAGCTGATAAAGGTTTGGTGCCAACAGTTGTCCTGCCCCTCGATGAAGAAGCAGTAGAGAGAGTGAGAGGGGGGCAGCTGGTTGCTTTCCCCCCCAGTAGCTCTCCTTGCTGTCTTCAGTGGCCTCCTCTGCCGTGCTGCCAGCAAGGACCCCCAGTGGAGCCATCAGGCACAGGGTAAGTTCCCTTTCCTTGCTCGCCCTTCTCCCTGCTCGCTGCCTGTGGGTGACCACGCGGCCGCCATCCCCCGGCCTGAGCCCGGCTGCCGCTGCCTCTTGTGGCACTGAGGCACTGAGGCAAGGGTCCCTCTGCCTGGGCCAGGGCAGGTGTTGGCTGCTGTGTTTCCATGTTCCTGACTGAGCTGTGGTGCCCTTGCTCTCCCACACCCAGGGTGAGAACAGCAGCCTCCACACAAAGGATTACAAGGACAGAGTCCCAAGCCTTCATGCTCCTTTGGCCTTAAGCTTTAGGAGCGTTTCATTTTGGGGGCACGAGGTCTCATGTTTCTTGCCCCTGACCCTGTTTCCAGCCCAGCTCTGGCTGTGTACAGCTCCTTCCAGCCACCTCGTGCGGTCGGCCAGGCGAGTATAGAGTTTCTGCCCTGCCACCCCTTCCTTCCTGGCCTTCCAGCACCCTTACTCACAGGCAAAGAGCATTGGTGCTCGCTGGGCAGCAGCCAGGGAGCTGCATGAAGCCCTGGGAATGGCAGGTGCCCTGGAAAAGGAGCCAACACAGCCCTTGTGGAAAGGGCTCCTCACAGGAGCAGTGTGGGAGCCCTTCTGCTGTACCCCTGCCACTTGTGCCCCAGAGCCAGGGACTGGCCTCCTGCAGCCCTGTGTAATGGCTGTCCCTGCTCCCTGCAGCGGGTCCGCAGCAGCCGCCATGGCCAGCGGCAGAGACTCGGACAGCGAGGAGCCGCCGGTGCCCCAGGAGGAGGAGGAGGAGGAGGCGGGCCCGGACGTGAAGGCCGTGCAGGCCCATTACCTGCGCAGCCCCTCGCCCAGCCGGTGAGTCCCCAGGCACCGACACGGCTCTGGCAGCACGTGGGAGTGCCGCCCTTCCCTGCTTCCCTTCCTCCTCTCCTCCACCCTGGCACCTGGGCCCAGCTGAGCCCAGGGATTCCCTGCCCTCCCCGAGGTGGGGTCAGTGTGCCGCTCACACAGAGCCTGCAGACAGGACTCCTGCACTAATTAATCCACCCTGCTGGGAGAGTGCAGCAGGGATAAACTGCAGGAAGGATTACTATGGGCTGCTGGTGTTCCTCTTCCCTGTCTCACCCTCTCATACCCCTATGCTGAAACTTCTGATCCAATTTCAACTCTTCACAAATTCAGCTTCATCTTTATGTCCATTATAAGGACTTGTGGATTTATTGAATGTTGATATTAGGCTTTGCCAGCCCTAGAAAGACCAAAGATCTTGGGATTTGGGTTTGATTCAGAAGCAGCTTTAGCTACAGGCTTCAGGCACTGAACAGGAGGCTGTCACAGCACAAGCAGAAATTGAGTTTCCTCAAGCAAAACAAGCATGATTAGATGTGTTTTCTCCTAACACAAGGAAAAATACACCCCTCTGTTCTCTTTTCCTAAAGCAAAATGCTCTGCAGGGCTTTCTGTAACCTTTGAGATGCTTTAGCTGAAAGCAAGGAGTAGGGATAGAGTTTAAAAAGAACCTTCCCCAGTGTCCCTCAACAAGTAGGAGGTTATGAAATGTTTCCTGCTAACTGTGGAACACTGCAGAAAAATTGAGTACTTATTTCATTTAACCACATGAAATCAAAATTGTTTAGGAAGATCACTGAGTTCACATAAAGTAAAATTATGTATTGTAAAATTATGTATTGAGCTCTCTCCTACTGCTCATCAGTCACTCAAAATGAACAGAAACATCTCTCCAGATTATTCCTTTCCTTTTCCTTTTCCTTTTTTCTTTTCCTTTTTCATTTTCCTTTTTCCTTTTCCTTTTTCCTTTTCCTTTTTCCTCTTTCTCCCTTTTTTTGCTGTCAGTGGCAAAACACAGTGATGAAAATGGCAAGATCCTTCCCAGCCAGAAGAGGGTCCTTGAAAGACCCCGGCTTGGGCAGATTCTGTGTTTCACAGATGCTCAGGGCAGCTACAGCTAAAACATGTTGAGCCTGTGGTGGCAGATTATTGCCAACTGCTACCTTTTTATTGAGCTTGGGGGCAGCCTTTACAGCAGAAGGAATGGAAGGCAGGGCAAAGCTGCAAATTTGTGTCAGCTCCTGTAAATGAGACTGAGACTCCCCTTGCTCATCTCGTAAACTGCTTTGAAGAACTAGAAAAGGATTACTTGCAGTCACGGTTGACAAGTGCTGGAACTCAGCTAAATGACCTGGATGAGCCTGTTAAGTGGTTTCCCATGGCTGTGCCCTCTGTTCTGATTCTGGAGCCTGAAAGCAGTTCAGCTCTCCAGACACTGCTGCACCCTGACTGCATATTAATCACCCTCCCTCTTCTGTTTTAATTAAACAAAAACAAACAGTCTGCAAGCCTTGCATTGCCAGAGAGCTTCTGTGATGGCAGCACACTTGTCCTGGTGATTTGTACCATCTATTTGGAAGGCAGTGTAGAGGGTGTAGATCAGGGAAAAAGCCCTGTAAAATATTTTGTTAAGATGGTCTAACTGAGAGACTGAATCTTCTTGGACTGTATAGGTGCACCCAGAGGAAAATATATTTGTTTTTAAGGTTGTGGCCTTTTTTGCTTAACAAAAACTTACTACCCTATGTCAAATAACACTTCAAAGGTGTTTGTGGGTGTCGTAGTGGTTTCTGACCCACAGTGACACAACACTGAGTGAGTGGAGAGACTGATCACAGGTTCATGCTCTGAAGTGCCCAAGGTACAAAGTACTGGGGGAGAGATTCATGGGCTTCAATCTCAGTGCTTGTACTGCAGCTTGTGGTAACTCAAAGGATGCTTGCAGGCAATTAACTGGCAGAAAGAAAACCCAACAGTTTTCTAGCACTATCTGTTTTGAATTACTCAATAAATTCTAGTTAGAGCCATGTTTATGTCTGTCTGTCTAAGTGGGAGTTACTTGTGAGACTATTTCTTGTGATCCATCCCCTCCCAGTCTCAAACCAGACACTGATGTTCTCTGCCCATAAACTCCTCCCCCAGGCAATCTGATCACACTCCCAGCCCCCTGCAGCTTCTCCTCATGGGACCTGTCTGCATCCTGCAAACACTGGATGCCAAGGCATCTTTGACGCCTGTAGTGCCATGCTAGAGATCGGGGTGGGAATGAGATGTGGGAGAAGAGCTGGGACTTCCTTTCTACAATCAAAGAATCCCCCCTGCTCTAGTTCCTTGCTGTTCCCCTCTAGAATGGGTGAAGAGGGCTAAAGCCCTAGGGATGGGATCCCAGTGGATCCCAGCATTTGCCTAACAGGCAGTGTGGTTGGTTGGCAGGTATTCAGTGATATCAGACACTGACACAGAGAGCATCTTCATGGAGCCAATCCATCTGTCATCTGCTGTGGCTGCCAAACAAATCATCAGTGAAGGTAAGAGACTATGCAAGTTACAGAGACCTGAAGTTGCACTTGCTTTGCCTTTCTCATCTAGAGATCCTAAATGATAAAAAAGCCCTTATGAGAAAACTCCATCTGAAGTGGAGAAAGAAAGAACAACTTACAGAAAGGTTTGGTGACCTCCTTTGAAGCTGTGCAATGAATCTGTGGTAGAATTGTGTACTGCAGGGGAAAAGTTTGAGTGCTGGTTGCTTGCTGCAACAAACTAAATTAGACTAGAATGGAACAGAACAGAACAAAATGGAGTATTTCAGTTTAAAGGACATATGTGATCATCTAAGTCCAACTATCAGGGCTGACCAAAAGTTAAATCATATTATTAAAGCACTGTCCAACATCTCTTAAACACTGTCAAGGATGGGGCATTAACCACCTCCCTAGGAAGCCTGTTCCAGTATTTGACCACCCTCTCAGAGAAAAAGTGGTTCTCTATGTCCAGTCTGAATCTCCCCAGCTCAGCTTTGAACCATTCCCACATGTCTGATCATGGATACAAGGGAGAAGAGCCCAGCAGCTCCCTCTCCACTTCCCTTCTCTGGGCCTGGAATAAGGGTGCCCTTAACTCCCAGGCCTTTGGCCAGTGTGGGGCTGAGTGCAAGGTGCCCTTCTCATTGCTGATTGCCCTGAGGCAGCTCCTAGGAACACGTACCTGCCCACACTGCAGACAGAGCAGGGTGGTATTTCTGGGGAAGAGAAGCCACAAGGCTTGTCCAGGCACAAGTAATGATAGCTCATCCATTTGCATTGTTTTTGGGTGCTTTTGGTTACAATGTCAGTTTATTCCAGAGCTGAAGACAAAGGATGTCAGGGTGGACTCGGTGTGTCCCAGGATGCTGGAGTCTGCGCAGCAGCTGATGGTGGAAGACCTGTACAACCGAGTTAAGGAGAAGATTGATGACACCAGCTTGTTTAACACGCCGTGTGTGATGGACTTGCAGAGGGCACTCATGAAGGACAGGCTGGAGACCCCCAGGGACGCTGTGGATGAAGTCTGGCCTAATGTCTTCATAGCAGAAAAGTGAGTGTCGGCTTCTGTCATCAAGCTGCACGAGATTCCCAGTAAAGGGTCAAATGGAACCATTGAAGGCATAACATGTATTACATGCATCTAATACTGTTCATCCCTAGAGAGCCCTAAAGTGTTTTTCAGACTGTGCTCATAGAAATCTCTATGCACTGGAAAGTAAATACTTCTGGAATAGAATCAGCAGCTTTCCTATTCTGTTTAGATGCTTCAACAGTTTAAGAGAGGAAAAGACAAATAAGCCCAAATTCCACTGTTTTGATTGGAATTTGGCCCTAAAATTGGAACTAAAGTCTTTGGTATGTAGAAGGGAGTTTAAAAGGTAATGCCAAAGCAAATGTCAAGTAAGCATTATTAGGTATCCTGTACCGTGGTTCAGCTATATGTGTAAGTGAGCAGACAGAATTAGAAGGGGATATAGAGTAAAGCATCAATTATGGAGTGGTAAAAATTGATAAATAAGTACATGGTTTGATCCTAGGATGGCAGTATGAGTTTCAAACCAAGCTGGAGTGGAAACAGAGCATGTGGCTCTACAGGCAAATGCAGGCTTCTTGTTTTCTTCTCAGAGTGAGTATTGGAAAGGGATACCTGTAGAACTCTCTCTCTCAAAGGACTTTAAGATCTGAGTGATGCCTCATGCTGAATGAGTTACACGGACTGGGAGTTATGTAGACTTTGTAGCATGCAGCTCTTTTCCCACCTAAAATAGGGGCACTGATATCTAACACGTTTTCCCCTTTTCTGCAGAAGCGTTGCAGTGAACAAAAGCCGTTTGAAGAGACTGGGGATCACCCATGTCCTGAATGCAGCTCATGGCACAGGTGTCTACATGGGAGCAAGTTTCTACAATGGTCTCAATATCCAGTACCTGGGCATTGAAGTGGATGATTTTCCAGATGCAGATATCTCCAAACACTTCCGCCCAGCTGCAGAGTTCCTTGACGAAGCCCTGCTGACTTACAGAGGTAAGAGGAGATTGAAGTGGTTCCAGGTTGCTTGGGAATTAACAGGGAGAAACCTTACTCTGATAAACAGCTGATATGTCACACTTGTAATGGGGTAGAAGAGCCTTTGCCCTCTGCATGGCAGTGAACACCTCCTGCCTGTTTCTGCCCAGTCTCATTCAAAACAGGAGGGAGCAAACTGGAAAGGGGAGGCAGCCCAGCAGCCCCATGGCTTCAGGTTCAAAGTTAGCTGCAAGTCAGCTCCTGCAGCTGATTTGAAAGAACCTGACTATAGCAAAGAGTAGAATCCCTGCTCTATTTTTTTTTTTTAATATTGATAGTCTATAATGCTATATAAATAGAGAGATAGGTATATTTCTGTACCCTGCACTTTTCAGTTTTGCCATGATGCCATAAACCAGGCTGATTTACCAGAACAACCCAAGTGGCTGAGTTGAACCTCTGGGTGTCTGCACCCAGGCTGCTGTCAGATTTGCTGTACTTCAATTCCATGGCAGCTGTTATTCTGTGGACTTCCAGTGCACTCTGGTCATTTTGTTGCAAATTCAGTGGACAGTTAGAAATATCTTTTTGCAGTTCAGTATTGAAAGAAGCACCATGGTCTGTGATATCACTGATACTCTTCATATAAATTGTCAATTAATCTCATTTCTGTAGAGAGGCAACAGATCACCTCCTAGCAGTAGTGACAGTAGGAAAAGTGTAAAGTTTTGTTAGTATGCAGGGAATGTTGAGTCAGTTTTAATAGCTCAACAACACGAGGAGGATGCACCAAGGAAGATGAGCCCTGGAAGAAATGAAAGGAAAGAGATCTCCCCCTCTTGGTGAGCTGTTAGATTGGTTTAGCTGGCTGGTAAAACACTTGGAAGGCAACCAAGACTTTTGATGGTAAGGTATTAAAGAGATTTCAGGATTGGAGGAAGAGGTTCATTAGGTAAACCTCTTGTGGTAACAAATCAGCAGTTAGAAAGATGATGCTTAAATTGGCTTCATTAAGTTTCAGTGCAAACAGATTGATTGAACTGGAGTTTATCACACATTTAGAAGCAGTAATTTCAGTTGTTTGCAAGCTTGCAAAGCCTCATTTACACTCTCTCCGTATTTACAAGCTTTTCTTTAGCTGTAATTTGCCATACAAGTAACTTAAACCCCAAACAATTTGTCTGTGCCAAAGTTTGGTTTTCTGCAAGATGTAGTAAATGCTGTAAAATAAAGCAGATCCTCAGTTTTGATTCTTGCTTATACCATTACTGGTGGAGGACAGTGGGTCCCACTAATTTAAAGCATCTGGATCAGTTTGTCAGAGTCAAATTCAGCTCTTTTCTGATAGTTGCTTGGTTCTGTTCTTGTAAGATATAACAGGACTTTGGCCTCCAGCCAGTCTTCAATGTAATTGTTTGAAGGTACCTTGCAAAACCGATCTAGATCCTGGCAAAAATACTATTAAATTAATATAAAATTGTTATTTAAGTCCTATAATGTCCCTTATAGGAAAAATAAGTTACTTGCTTATCCTCTCAGTACCTTCCTGGAGGCTAATGCTAATATCTCACTTTTTACATATTGAGAAAAAAGCATGGAGAGCTTAAATGTCTGACCCTATGTCAGCCAGCAAGTCAAGATTATCACATTTGCCTTTCTAATACCTATTATGAGCTTTTTGACTATTTGAGTAAGTGAAGTGTGTAGGTGAAAATACAAATACTATTTAAATTGTTTGGAAATGTGCTTGCTCACAGTTTTTGAGACTAATGTGCTTTTTATTCGTATGTATCTAGATTTTTATTAAGGTAAAGCTAGTGAATATTTAGTGTTGGTTTCAGCCTCTGAAACATATAATCAGTGTAGTTTTTAACACTATGCAGAGAATGCTTTTGTGCTACATACCAGAGCATCCTGTCTGCTATTGGAAATAGCTGATGCCTTTCATGTTCACTGTCTGTAGGCAGAATCCTTGTCAGCAGTGAGATGGGGATGAGCCGCTCAGCTGTGCTGGTGGCTGCCTACCTGATGATCTACCACCACATGACTGTTCTGGAGGCTCTGATGACCCTGAGGAAGAAGCGTGCCATCTACCCCAACGACGGCTTCCTGAAGCAGCTGCGGGAGCTCAACGAGCAGCTCTTGGAGGAGAGAGAGCTGGAGCCTTCTGGAGATGAGGACGTGACTCCAAGCCAAAGTCCTCTTCCCTGTGCAGGGACTTCTTCACGGCTCTCTGGAGCTGGGGACTCAGGGAGCACCAAGGGAGCCAAAGCCCACTCCATCACAGTAGAAGAAGAGGACACCAGCAGCATTCTGGGTAGTTTTATGAGCTCTTCATCAGTGGAAAAAACTAGCTGGGTTTCCAGACACTCCACCCTGATCACTGAGGAGGAGGAGGAACAATTGTATGAGGAATGGAGGAAGAAACAAGGCCTGTCTGTAAAGGAAGCAGGAGTTCACTGTGAAAGAAGAACATCTCCAAAGCATCTGGATCAGGAAGAGGAACAATCTGATGAGGATGTGGAACGGAGGATCCACGATTGGCAGCGCAGAAATGAGAAATACCAGATGGCAGGTACAGCCAGGGAGGAGGATGGTGAATGCAGCATGGGAGGAAGACCTTACCCATCAGGTGAATTCAGTGATGTTGAGAGCGTGAGCAGTTTTGAGATCCGAACCCTAAAGAAGCAGCTGGAAGCCAGTAGCTTTAGCAGGATGAGGAGGAGCCGCACAGACTCTGTGTCTTCTGAGAGCACCTGGGACATGTGGAATCAGAGGCTTCTGGAGATTGAGAAAGAAGCTGCTCAGAGGTATCATTCTAGGAATAAGACCTGTGGGGAAAGACAGTCCCCAGAAACAGGAAGAAAGGAGAGGGATGTGGATGAGGAGAGTGTGCTTTCAGACTCCTCCTGTAGCTCCTTCTACAATTTCTGCCAAAAGAACAAGGACAAGTTGACTCCTCTAGAAAGATGGAAGGTCAAGAGGATCCAGTTTGGCTTTCACAAGAAGGATTTAGAACCATCATCTGCACCATCTCCAGCAGAGGATGGCAGCCAGGCAGGTCAGGAGGAAACAGAAGGGAAGAGTTTGTCAGATATTGATCTGACTGCTTACCAGGCTTGGAAAATGAAGCGGCAGAAGAAGGTGGGCAGTGAAAGCAGCAAGGAGGAATTTGTGGAATTTGCCAAAACTGAGGATTCTGCTTCAGCTAAAAAGAGGCAGAGGCGTGTAGAGCTCCTTGAACGTTCAAAGAAAATTTTAGAAGAAAGCCAGTCCATGTGCAGCTGGGAGACAGAGAGTACAATGAGTGGGAGTATTCCCCTGTCAGCTTTCTGGTCTTCAGCGCCTTCTGCAAGCGGTGCCGACGACGCAGCTTCTGCCCTGAGCATGCAGACAAATCATTCATCTTTGTCACAGGCCAGGAGCTGTACTGGAGCGACGCAGATGCCAAATATACCCCTTCCCAATCTCCCAGTTGGCCCAGGTGACACAATATCCATGGCAAGCATTCAGAACTGGATCGCTAACGTGGTCAGTGAAACCATTGCTCAAAAGCAGAATGAGATCCTGATGCTGTCCCGTCCATCGTCCGCCATGGCCTCCCTGTCAGGAGACTTTGGCAGGCGAGCAGATGATGACAAAGTTTCTCTTCTCAGTGCTCAGGGTGGCTCATCCCTGGCTGCCTCTCAGCTCCACCAGCAGGACCTGCGCAGGGCTGAGTCTCAGTCTGTGCTGTCCTGCAACACCTCTGCGAGCGCAAGGACAGAAGGGACTGCTTCAAACATGAAGATGACCCAGACAAGCAAACCACTGTACAGCCTCTTTGCTGATGATGTTGACCTAAAGAAACTCAGGAGGAAGGAGAAAGAGATGCAAATGGAAATGAGAGAAAAAATGTCAGACTATCAAATTGAAAAGGTGATTAGAGACAATAAACGCAGCACTTTATTTAAAAAAAAGGTGACCAAAGCAGAGGAAGATGAAACAGAAGATGACAGAGAGTGTACAACAAACAGCCACAGGCGTCCCTTGCAAGCAGATTTTGACAGAACTGATGCAGTCTTTGATCTGTCCAGTCAACCTGCAGCCTCAGGTGCACCAAAGTCAGAGGTAGATACTGATATTACCAAGTGGCTCAATGGCCTGAAAGCAGAAAGAGAACCACCGTCATATTACGATCAGACGGAGAAAGCTAGAGAGAAATATAGATCATCCAGAGTTAGACAGATGGATTCTGAGACATCCAGTTACAGATTCTGCAGTTCCCAAAGAAAAGAGCTAGATAGCTGTTCTTCCTATGAGTCAACAGGAGATTCACTGAGAACCATGTCAAGATTTTCCTCTGCTTCTGCAAAAGAGGACAAAAAGATGTACAAGTTCACGAGGTCCAGGGTCAGTGAGACAAGTTCCAGAGGAAGCAGCCCAGATCTGCATGTTTTCAGCCAGTCACCTGAACCACCCTTTGACTCTGAATCCCCTGAACCATCCACACAGAGCCGAGTTAGAGCTCATCACGTGGAGGCATGTGAAGAGGAGGCCAGGTCAGACATGTCAGAGTGTGGAGCAAAGAGAAAGTTCACCCAAAGCTTTTCAAAGTCTGAAGAGGATGGAAAGAAGGAGGCAAAGGTGGAGCAAAGTGAAGAAAGGTTTGCATCTAGGCAGGTGTCTCAGTACAGGCGAAGCACACGTAAAGAAGCGGAAGAAGAGATGGATGATGATGCCATTATTGCTGCTTGGAGAAGCCGACTAGAAGAAACTACAGCAAAGCTCCAGCGGAGAAGGGAAGAGTGACCAAGATCAGACTCCAGGAACACAAGCAGAGCCGCAGAGTCCCTGAATCACTCGCTCATCATTATATTTTTGATAATCCTTTGTGGTTTGTAGGGCATTTCCTGCAGATAGTTCTCTTCTTAATCAAAAGCGATGAAGGGAAGAGGTCAAGTTCTGCAAGTGTTTGTGGTTTGTCAGAAAGAAGATGCTGGTATTAAATGATCAATGTAGGTAGGAACACAATGTTAGAAGCCATTAGGAGCCAGACGGTGTTTCAGCAGCAAAAGCAGGTAACGGTGACACCTCAAGTCAAAAGACCAATCACATCCCATTTTGGTTATTTCAATTTCCTAGCGTCGTTAAAGACTGGACATGTTTTTTCTAGGATCTTTTTGATCATAAATGGAAGAAGCCAACAGCCTTTTCTAGGAACTTAAAGAATGTTTTTCTCTTAATCAGTTTTACTTTATTCGACTGAGAAGATATTACCAGGTAGGCTCCATTTTCTGCACCAGCCTTACGAATGTCTAGAGAAGTAAGACAGTTCAGGTTTATATGTGTTCTGTTTTACTTTACTAAATAGCAGAAGCTAAGTGGAATACTTGAAAAAAGAAGATGTGTCCTGTTTAGAAGTTAAGTGCAGTAATGAATGTATTCATTGTTTTCCATTAGATAGAGTCATCTCTGCTCCAGTATGGTTGGTTCCTCCTAATAACTTCAGGTCAACAAAGGAAAAACACAGTAATATGAGCAGCCATCCGAAAATCTTTTTTTTTTATGTAGTTAAAGAGATAGAGTTAGGATTAGTGTTAGTGTAGGCTGGGTTTCTGAGCATTGACTTCACTTTGGTTTATGTATGCAGCTCAGCTAAATTGGTGCTTTTGTGTTTATAGTCAGATTAATTTTCAACATGATTGCCTTGAAAGAAAAGAGCAATACACAAACTGACCTCATAATAAAATTGTTTAATTAGACCATAGGTGTAAGGTATCGTGCAGCTAAGGAGAAATTGTGTGTCTGTGAAGGTGGCACCTGGAAGCTTGTTTTTAGGAGGAGCAGGTAGGTTCAAATGGCATCTTCCAGTTAAAGTGTTCTTATGTCCTGAGCTACACAGGAAGAAGCCCAGCCTCCATGGTAACTGAGTACTCCAGGTTAAGAGCCTCAGGTCTTTCCATGCCCTGCAGAGCCTTGTGAGCTTGTGTGACACAGCCCACCAGCTTGCCACAGCATCCCTTGTGTGTCTTTCCACACCACAGCACCCAGCCCTCACCAGTCAACATCCTCCACCTCTCTCTTGTAAGCACATAGGCCGGTTTCTACTGACTTGGCCAGGAATTGTCAGTTCTCTCTTCTGTACAGACTGTATTCTGAACCAACAAAGCCCTCTGGCAGAGCTGAATCTAAAACAACAATGGAGGGATGATGCAGTAGCGCTCTCTCACAGGAAGTTTGTCTTTTCCTTGTAATCTCTTCTCCCTCCCACTGTGATGCTTAGAGCTCACCATTACCATTATGCTAGTACCTCTCCCTATTTTAATTGTGTAATACAGACAGCAAGCTCCACAGGGCAAGGGCCTGCTCTTTGTCCCTGTCTGTATGGCGCTACGCACATCAGCAATGCTATCTAAATAATGGTTACTGATAACAAAATGCAGCTGGCAATTTTCCTAAACTTAGAATCATTTCTCTCAACTATAACTCACTGATCAGACATTATCCCTGCTTCTCTGAAGATAAAGATGATTCTTTCTGACAGCCAGGACTGGGGTAAATGATAGCTACTTATTGTCAGGTGAATGGAGTCTCACAATCAGGTGATTAACCAGTAACAAAGCTAGAAAAAATATGAGAAATCACTTACTTGTGTGGGTTGTTTTGGGGTTTGGTGTTTTTTTTTTTTTTAGTAAACTCAGATTACATTTCTGAAATACATAAGGAACATGGTTGTGCTAATGTTTCAGGCATGCAGAGATGCTCTATGGTTTATAATGCTCTTCTACTATAAAATAATATATTATACAATGCATCCCTTGTTTCTGTGTATTTCTGTGAGTTGTTATTTTTAAAGTAGTGAAATTCCAGGCCTTGAGCCACATTCTGAGAATTTATATTGAATTTCAGCAGTGTGTGTTAGGATAGGCATTTTGCTCTTTCCTTCATCCCTGGTAAAGTTGCTCCGCAGAAAACAGCTCTGCATAGACATATTTGGAGCTTGCTTTAATTTCATCCTAGAAAAGGTCTTAAGTTTTGATGGATCAAAGTGGAAGTGTGCAGTACCTTCTGGCACTGAATTTACTTTTTTATCAAAGGCTGATTCCCTCTGAAAAATCCCTCCTGCTTCCTGTGCCTGGAGGTTGCCAGCAGACCAGCCTGTCCTCTGCAGTACTGCAGGGGGCATCTCGCGCTGTAAAAGACGAGCAATAGATGATGTAGTAATTGGTTTCATTTTGCACTGTACAGCACAGCCTTTGTTTGGGCAGCATTTTGATTTAAACACTAATCTAGGTCTGCTGCACAAATAAATTATTCAAGACCGAGGGGCAGAATATGGTTCTGTAACAAGTCTGAGCCAGACCATCCTGATAGCGAGTTTTGACCCTTGTGAGAAAGGGTTAAGTGGGTTCTGCTGACTCATTGAGGTAGGTGGCTTATTAGTTCACTTGTGTAAAAGGGAGATAAAAATGGTTTGCTGGGGAGAGGCCATCTAAGATGCTGGCTGAGCAGCCATGAGGGAGAAGCCTTAGAAATAGCTGAACTTTATTTTCTTATTGCTTATATCCTTGTTAATAAAGCCAAACCCCCAAAGCAATAAGGGGGTGGGGATCATTTTGGACTCCATGCAGTATATGGCCAGTGCTTGAAAGCAAGATGGGAAAGGCTCCAGCTCACAGGTATAAATTACATGAAACAGTGACATAAAGACCTTGCATGGTGAAAATATTAAAGCATTCAGTCATAAGACCAATAACCAGGAGAGACAGAAATGGAGGGGTTGAAGGCAGGCTAGAAAGTCACGTTTTAAGATGAGAATTTAGAAGGAGATAAGGAATTGCTGAAAGGGGAGAGGTCTGCACAGATTGTTTCAGGTGACCAGAGCTGCAGAGTGAATGGTTTTTCAGCAATGACACCAGTCTGACAGTAGATTAAAAGAATAAATAAGTACCCAAATTTATCTAGGAAGGATTTTTCAGCAAAGATGTGCTGGGACTGATATTTTTTCCCTCTCAGTTTGCTGCCGTAGGGAGGAGGGGTTTTTGGCATTGTATAGTGGAAGGTGAAAGTGAAAGGAGCATCCATAGGGTCAGTTAAGAATATAAACACAAGAACATAAGAAAGGCTCTATGGGGTCAGACCAAAGGTCCATCTGGCTCAATATCCTGTCTCTGATAGAGAACAACAGCGAATACCTAGGGAAGAATATATACAGTGATAAAAGTGCTATTTCCCCAGCATGATCTTCCTGCTTCTAATCATTTGCAACTCAAGGCCTTCCTAAGCCAGGTGTGATATTTTTGTATTTAATAGCCCTTAATAGGTTTTCCTTCTATGTAAGTGCCTAGTAATTTCTGAGTTATAACCACTATAGCCTCGTACCCACTAGCCTCTGTGACCTCTTGTAGCAAGAAGTCCCACAAGTTACTGCACACAAAATGCTAAGCCATCTTCTTTCTGCCTATTCTGATCCCTCTGCCCACTGGCCTTCAATGCCAATCTAGTGTCTGTTTAGTATCTACATGTCCCACGAGATTTTACCCCCCTTCAGTCATTCTGTCCCATCCTTAATTCTCTGTTTTTTCACCTGAATTACTTATTCCTCATATAGGGGCTGCCCCATGTCTCTTCATTATCCTGGCTGTTCTCTGAACCCTTTCTAGTTCTGCTTTGTCATGTTTGAGATGAGGGACCAAATCCTCACACAGTATCCAGGGTGCAGGTGTGGCAGGAATTTATCCTATGGCATAGTGACCTTTTTTTTCTCTTTTCTGTTCCTTCTCTATTGACTGTTAACAGTGTGTGTGTTCCTTTGGCTGTTGTTGAGCACCAGAGTGATGTTTTCATAGAACTATTTATTTTATACACCAGATCTTGTTGGATGGCAATGGTCAGCTGTGAGATCATCATTTTATGTGTTAAGTTTTCTTATTTGTAATGTTTTACATTTATTAGCCTTGAACTTCATCTGCCATCTTAGTTCTCAGTCTCTGTCACATTAAGTCCTTCTGCATTTTTCCACAGCTATCCTCCCATTTCTACTGCTCTGTTTCCTTAATGGCCTTTGAACAAGGTAGAAACTCAGAGGATGTGGGAAGCAAAGAAGTGAAGGAGGGGTAGATGAGAGAGAAACCCATTTGATGTTGATCTGCTTGAAGTTAGAAATAAGAAAGTGATGAAAGTCAGAGGGCTAGGAGATAAATGTTCAAAAAGAGATCTGAAGACAATAGACAAATTGAGAAGGGAACCTATAGTGGTCAGAGACAGGAAGATACAAATGTAAACCAAAGAGGCCAATGCAAAATATTAATTTGTTTAGATTTATCAATGTCTGGGAAAAGGCTAGGAGGCAACAACATCTCTGGGAAGAAAGGAGAAATAAAGAAGTTACAAGTCTGTGAGAAATGTGAAGGGGACTGGGAGAAATGGAAAGAGTGAGAGACATTAGTGGCACACCGATGATAAAATGACATTGGTGCTGGATTGGGAATTCAATGTAGTACAAGCAAGTTTGAAAGAAGTGGAAATGTGCCAGAAATATGTTATTCCTACTGTAAGAGCTGCATTTTGCATTGTAATACTGATAGCTGTGGGGCCATGGCCCGTTTCCCCTATCCAGGAATTTCAGGACAATGTGATCTATTGCATGCAGCACTAGCTTAGACTGGATAATTTTAAAAGGAGTTTAGCACCATTTCCTTCCTTTACAGCTCCTTGAGAAATGCTTACACGTTAGCTGTGGTGGAGAGCTAGGTGAATTATGAGACAAAAAGTTTTATTTGGGGAGGTTATGTTGCATTGCCTGCCTT